GGAGAGACGGCTCAGCAGCTGAGAGCCCTGGCTGATCTTCCAGAGGACCTGGGTTCAGTTCCCAGCATCCATGCAGCAGCTCACAACTATCTGTAACGCCAGTTCCAAGAGACCTGATACCCATACATGGACATATATGCAGGCAAAACACCTACATACATAAAAAAAAAATCATTTTTTAAAAAAGTACAAGAGAAATTTTGAAGCAGGAGGATTCAAGAGAAGATACTGTCCAAGGAAGGGCTGTGTGTGTTGTTAAATGGTTACAGAACAAAGAAAACAATAATGTCACCAGACATAGTGGCACATGCTCTTAGTCCCAGTGCAAGGGAGGCAGAGACAAGGAGACCACTTTGAGTCTGAGGCCAGCCTGGTTTACACAATGAGTTCCAGACCAGCAAGGGAGATCCTGTCTAAAAGGAAAAAACAAAGCTAGGCAGTGGTAACAGCCTTTAATCTGAGCACTTGGGAGGCAGAAACAGGCATATCTCTGATCTAGGACATCCAAGGCTACACAGAGAAACCCTGTCTCAAACAAAACAAAAGAACACTTGTCATTCTTCCAGAGGATCTGAGTTTTATATCTATGACTCACATTAAGAGGCTCACAACCCCCCCTAACTTCAGCTCTAGGGAATCTGATGCCCTCTTCTGGCCTTTGTGGACACCTACATGCACACAGAGAGAAATACACATACACACATAAACAAAATTAAATCTTTTTTTGTTTTGTTTTTGTTTTTTGTTTGTTTGTTTTTTTGAGTCAGAATTTCTCTGTGTATAGCCCTGGCTGTCCTGGAACTCCCTATGTAGACCAGGCTAGCCTTGAACTCACAGAGATCTGCTTGACTCTGCCTCCTAAGGGCTGGGATTAAAGGTGTGCGCCACCACCACTTGGCAAGTAAATCTTTTTGTAAAAAAGGAAGAAAATACTAATGGGATAAATGGTGACAGTTGGTTTGTCTTCTCCTGGTGCACAAGGTAACCGATTTCTTTTCAGCACCAGAATTTCATCATAAACTACTGGGGTTATCTAAAGATCGTCAAACAGAAGGCCTCTGACGTGTGGAGAGTTTGACAGGATGACTGGGGCCTCCATATGTGCAGCATCTTATTGGGTCTGGCCTGAGATTAAAAGCATACACCACTACACCGGCTGATTCTGGTTCTCATGGAACGGTTGAGCTCTAAAGAGCTCCTGTTTGACCTGCACATGGTGGTCCATGCCTACAAATCCTAGCACTTGGGAGGTGAAAGCAGGAGAATGAGAGATTGAAGGCCATCCTTGGCTACATAGTGCGTTTGAGGCCTGTCTGGTCTGTAGGAGACTCTGTCTCAATAATAGTTCTATTTGGGTTGAGCACGTGCTCATTTGGTCCTTTCTTCTCACTCATCCTAAAGCTGGATGCTGAACCCTAAAAAGACCGGTGAGGTGAGGGCTCTGCCTAGAACCCAAGAGTGTGGGGACTGAAACACCTCCCCGTCCCACCGAGAAGGTCCAGCTGGAGCAGCCAGCCAGCAGCATGACGTCCCCTCAAGTTATGACTCACGGCTCTCTTTCCACTCTGGGGTCAGGCATCTTCGGGACCCTATTTCTACTGGAGGGCCTTTGCCAGAGAGTGTCTTAAACCTTGTGGGGCTTAAGGGTGTGATGAGAAAAGGGTAAGTGTGAGGTCAGAAGTGGTAAGAGAAGGGAGAGGGGAGAACAGCTCCCCCGTAAAGGGCCTTGAGTCCCCACTGGAAGCCCGCATCCACCACAGTTCACATGGAGCTTCAGCACAAAGAATCGGTGAAAATATCTGTGGTGCATGTATTGTGTGGTGGTTATGTGTGTAAACGTTCTGTGTGAGCTCCCTCCTAATCAATGTCTATGCCGCATGCAATGTGTGTGCATGTGTGTGCACGCATAGAGAAACAGGAGGTGGATGTCCAGTGCCTTCCTCGATAGCTTCCTTCCTTCCTTCCTTCCTTCCTTCCTTCCTTCCTTCCTTCCTTCCTTCCTTCCTTCCTTCCTTCCTTCCTTTCTTTTCTTTCTTTTTTTGAGACAGGGTTTCTCTGTGTAATTTTGGTGCCTGTCCTGGATCTCGCTCTGTAGACCAGGCTGGCCTCGAACTCACAGAGATCTGCCTGGCTCTGCCTCCTGAGTGCTGGGATTAAAGGCGTGAGCCGCCACCGCCTGGTGATAGCTTTCGTTTTTATTTATGTATTTTACAGAGCTTTATGTGCTCAGCAGGCCACACTGCTGTCAAACCTCATATCCTGAGTTCCATCCCCAGGACCACATGGTGTGAGAGAGACAACCCCTGCAAGTTGCCCTCTGAGCTACACAGGCTTGCCGCCTGCTGTGTGCTGAGTAGCAAATTCCTCCAAGGCAAAACATGCCATCCGGCAGGGAAGCCCCTGGAAACTAGGGAAGGAAGCAACTCAAAAGCTTTAGGAAGTCCCTGAAACTGACCAGATTCACTAGGCCGGGCCTTCTCCGGGGTTATATAAGCAATGGAAACTGCTGAGAGACACTCTGAGGAGAATAGTGTGCAGCCTGGAGGAAACTCTCCAACCTCTCAAGCCGCCTTCAAAATTGTACAGCGAGTGCTAGTCCCAGTTTTTGTAACTGTCACTCATGCTGGCTTGGGCTTTGGTGATGCAGCTGTCTTTAAGTCATTTATGGTCCTGTAAGTGACCCTTCACTCACACCCTTGTCAGTAACCCCAATAAAACCCATTGGTTTACCAAGGCGCACTTTGATGCTGTACTTCCTTTGGTTTCTTGTCAGTTCCATGGAGTGAGTAGACATTGTTCCCATTTCACCGGGAATGTGTGCCCACCCCTCCAAAAAAATAAATAAAAGTAATATGAATATTTTAAACACCATCAAAAATTACATTTAAAATTTATTTTGTAGCCAGGTATGGTGGCACATACCCTTAGTCCCGGCACTCAGGAGGCCGAGGCGGGCAGATTTCTGAGTTCAAGGCCATTCTGGTCTACAAATCGAATTCCAGGACAGGCAGGGCTATGTAGAGGGACCCTACCTCAAAATAAATAAATTAATTATATATACACATATATAATTATATATACATAATATATGTGCATATATACATAATATATAATACCTTATACACATATAATTACATATACACATACATATGTGTATATATACATAATATATGTAATACATTATACATATGTATATACATATTTAATTTACTTTGTGTGCATGAGCACAAGCGGAGGCAGAGGATATTTGCAGGAGCTGTTTTTCTCCTTTACCACGTGGGGTCCTAAGTACCAAACCCAGCCACCTTATTTTTTTGAGAGACGATCTCTCACTGAACCAAGAGCTCATGAATTCAGCTGGACTGGCTGCCCCTCCTCAGCCCAGGGCTGCATCTAGCTTTTTACACGTGTGTTAGGGATCCAAACTCATGCTTCTTTTTTTTTTTTTTTTTTTTTTTTTGGTTTTTCGAGACAGGGTTTCTCTGTGTAGCTTTGCGCCTTTCCTGGAGCTCACTTGGTAGCCCA